AGGTGGTAACAATCAGGGGAAGGCAAAAAAAGCAAATAAAAGCCCAAGAGACACAAAGAAAAGTAATTACCAAAATAAAGATACACATAGACGCACAAACACATAAACGAGACAGAGGGAATACAGACACACACCGTTTCTCATTTCCCAAATTACACATCCTGTCCTTAGCACCTCTGGTTTCTAAGTTATGAGTGGACAAAACAAGGAAGCAATACAAAAACAGAGTCCAGGCTTCCTCGCTTTGAGTCGACTGCATCATAAATTACTTTTCTGTGATGTACATAACAAAGTCATTACAAAGCAATGTGAGATTTTGAATCCATATATATCATTTCCTATATGTTGTCAATTCAATCGATGACAGTAGGAATTATAGTCACAGCTCTATGTAGCATCATTATCACTTTTTAAGATTAATCTATTGGTCTTGAAGAAGAGGTCAGAGGTCAAATGTCACATTGTATTTAATATGGTATTTTCTATATGTTGCCGATACACATCACACTAACAATCATGGTTTCAAAGTTATAAGTATTTTTAATCCGTTTTAACCAGTAGATTATTAAGTTGAGCTTGCCAAAAACATAACCTACTTGGTGAAAAATGACGAAATTAATATCATCTAGGAAATTCTACTATTTTCTGCTATTTCTGAATACTTGATGTGATGACAGACTATAATCAAATACGTGTATATTTGAATAAATGGATAAATAATCAAACTTGCAATGTGTTACCCACGTCAAAACAGAGAATGCAATAGATTTGATCATCATACAACATAAAAAGGACATGTTGTTGTCCTCCTCTCGCACAGGATATATTTAAGCTTTGTGCTGCTCCTTTTTACACAATGAATTTTTAAAACCTCTAAAGAATACACCTGCGCATCCTCGATTATAGCTCCTCTGGCAAGCCTCCTCTCTCTTCTCTCAATATGAGGAATGGAAGACATGCGTAGCCAGAGAAATTGGGACAGCCTAGGGAAACACCAGGGAAAATGTATCCAAACATCAACCAAAAACTAAACAATGGCACATAAACTGAAAGTCATTCAACTATAAATGAGATCAAGAACTCAAAATAAGAAGAATCCAAAAAGCATAACCAAACCTTGAGACCACAACATGTGATGCAGATTCTTTGTAACTGAATACATCTATTTATGAATTTGTTGCCAGCTACCATCACTATTATTAGCATAGTTTCTCTTCTTCTTTCCCCTTTCTTCTTTTCTTTTTTACACAGAGCTCATTAAATTTCCCTTGTGTATAAAATGTGTTATATATAAAGCTCCGCTCTGCTTGCCTTTAGTTACATGTCTCCCCACCATTATCCAGCTCTTCTCTTCTCTCTGTTCCTCCATGCATGCCTGTGCCCCAAAAAGGGTTACTGTGGCCCCAGAGCCCCACATGTGTAAGGAGATATCTTCAGCCAGCCTACAGCACTGAGCTCGCCGAGCGACTGGTTGCTCCTCCAACACACAAAGCAGTGCGCGAGGGAGAGGGAAAAGAGAGAAGAAGGGAAGCAAAAATATGAAAATATCATCAGAGGAATGGGAAGCAGCTTCAGCTCCTGCAATCCTTGTGCAAATACAACACACTCTCATGAACACAAACACACATGCATACGCACAAACACTTCTGGCATCTGTCTCGGGGAGAGATCAAGTAGAGATCAACCACAGAGCTTGGCTCTCCCCCACCGGCTGTCCTCATTCTGCTACACTACAGAGGGGAAACATCACCAGCTTGTTGGTCTGGGAGGCTTTCTGATTACCTCTGAATCCTTTGGTTGAGCAAGCCATAAATATTGTGCTATTAGGGGCATAACTGCAAACATGCATGGCAATCAACCAACAATTATAAAAAAGTGTCCACCAGGAGTGTTTTTAACCTTTACTATGAGTAATAAACTTCTATTCTAAGCCAATACATTTATTAAAATGACAAATCTAATCAGTTGCAGAAGGATCGGCCCTCTTGTTATGCTCAGTTCAGTGGCAAAAATTGCTGTTTTGGTTAAAGGTGCAGTCTGGGTGGCACAAATCCCTCATCAAATGCCACCATTTCAAACCAACTTTGTGCAAGTCCATGCACGTGCAAACACATAAATGCACACACGCACGACTGGAGTGCAGTATTAGCACCTTGGGTCAAAGCTGAATACCTTACAAATAAGCACAACTGGAGCTCATCAAAGAGTGGAAAGGCGGAAGAGCCAGTGTTGGTGGTTATTTATGATTCTACATTTTACGGCTCAGCGCAGCTTACTAAATCAGAGGTTTCCTTATTCCTTATTATTCCTTATTGTACATATTTTGATTAATTTGTGATCTGTTTTTCACTTATTGAGGCGAGATATCAAGATTGCGTGAAACTCCACGGCTCTGTTGCTGGAAAGAAAAAAGCACACACATGCACGTTACATGCACATGCTTTTTCCTACATGCACGTTACGAGGTGTGCATGTAGACTTGCACAAACGAACATCAAGACATGTGAGGTAAACATTGTTTTAAGATGCGTAAGTGTAATGCACACATACAAGTCCAATCACATTTTTTCAAGTGCTTTTCACTTTCGTTTATCTCTTCCCTTTACAGTAAATTAACCAAACAAAAGTAGCTCTCCTCTCAGTCGTTGCATGACAGCAACAGTGCTCATGTAATTAACCGTAAACTGCTCGTTATGACAGTGAATTATCACGGGGCAACGAAATTGCTGGTTAATCATAAACACTCTCTGTACACAGTCGTGTTTATCTGCCTCTGCTCTAGCTTTAACCTCAAAGCTTTATTGTACTTTGGACAACTGCATGTGCGTATGTGTGTGCAAATATGACGTGCAAGAACATGATTTTTAAACAGAACCCCAGAATTACTTTTCCTCTTAATTATTAAGTAAGAAGGGTGGAGGAAGCTTTACATGTTTGCTGACAGTGTAGTCGGGCAATCCCTACATCCCATTGCTTTCCATTAGCTTAAGCTAGCATGTGTTTGGACGCTCTAACTAAGATGTAGCAGGAGAATACTCGAGAACTAACCTCCATCACAAAGGGGGGTGTTTGCCTGACCTCCCGTCCTCAACTCTGTGAGGGCCCAGGGCCCAGTTTGGTCTCTCCAGGCAAACCTAACAATGTTTGCTCTGCTTAATGGCTTCTCTGTTTGTTTTCCTCTTCACTGGAGCGACCATCTCTTGGTCACAGCAGCTTTAGTGTGCTGCCACGTTTGGGGTCACCAAACCGGGGCCTAGCCCACCCAGAATGCAGTGCAGCAGCCAATGGAGATATGAAAATTACTGCATGGCTGTCAAACTTAAATCTGCAACACACACACACACACACACACATAGTGTTAATCTACCATTTCATGTGGAGCTGCGATCTTGCTCCAGATAGGCGGCTTTTATCTGTTTGTCAGCTCTCACCTCGGGTTTGTCAAGCTTTCTCTCGAGGGCATCGTAAAATGAAAAAACACATAATAAGAATAAAGGAGTGACTGTCTTTTTTCCCTGCAACTGAAACCTGTGACTCAACTATATGTTGTCATCAAAGGCAGTGATTATCTCCAGATTTATTTTAGATGCTAGAGCCACTGGAGTCATAAATACATAAATACAAACATCTCAGGGAGATTAGGCGGATGCATAAACACCTGAAAAACAAGAAAGTGAGCTGCAAAAACTATAACCATAGTGCTTATCCTGTGTATTGCGATGGATTCATGCAAGAACTAAAATTTATATTCTACGGAAGTTACATAAAAATTGGAGACTGACAACAAAATATCTGTTTTCCTCATTCTTGGGGATAATTTTCAAAGATGTTTTAGAGCAGGGATGTCAAACTCATTTTGCACTGTGGATCACAGAGCTAGCTGTAAACAGCTTTAACTACAAATGTACTCCCCAGGATACTTTAATAAAAATAAAAAAAGAAGTGTAATTTCAATGGTGTGTCTCAGTTTTTCTACATCATAATGAAACACTGCTGTAGTAAATGAAAGAAGTCTGTCAGAGTGACTCTTTGGCCATAAATTGTAAGAAATAAATGTGTAAAATGACAGAAAAAGTTCTGATTGTGCACGAGGTCCAGTGAGTGTAAAACGAAAACATTTCTGTCAGCTGACAGAATATGTCCTTTAGGGCTCCACTCACACCCAGTGTTGAGGAAGTGTGTTGATGTGTTCTGTGGCGCGATGTGTTCAGTTGATGTGAGAAGAAGAATAAAGCAGGAGTGAGAACTAATAGCTCTGTGTCGTCTGTTTACCTCCACAGTGTCCTTTATTTCCTTTATTGACTGATTGATTGATTTTTTTTTCTTTTACGTGAACCGACTGTAAAAAATCAAATTTCTATAGAAGATTTAAAAAAATGTAGTGAAGGAAAAACACAAACTACCGCTTTTTTACTTTGGTGCTGTATGAATGGCCATGGAGAGGCCATTAAGGTGAAGTCTTTATCAGTAGGAGAGGCTGCAAAAACTTGTGAAAATACAGTTTAAAACCAAAAATTGACATGCTCCTTCACAGTCTCCAAAGCTGCTCAGTGGACCAGTTTGAAATCTTTGGCTGACCGATTTTGGCCCCCTGGCCTTGTGTTTGACATCCCTGTTTTGGCGCATTTAATCCAATATTACCTCCACAAGATAGCACATCCGCGCGCATCCTATTTACTCACATCACAGGGCTTTTAAACTTAAGATAATATCTTCTATGTTTCCAACATTTTTACCTGCTTGGTTATTGTTTGCTTTACGATCACCGCCAGCTGCACGGTATAGTTTGCTCATGCATTTTAATCATCCCTACATGCCGTGAGCAACACGCACGGAGCTGTGATTTACAAATCCCCCTACAAACACCTTTTTTTTTCTAATTGCTGGGGTGGAGGAGGGGGGTATTATTAGCCCATTTGCTGTGGAGTGCAGGAGGATCACATGAGGCCTTTAGGGGGATGGGCAGACTTTTCTGAGGGTGGTATGGCTTTAAGAGTTTACTACCATCAGTGCGCTCTTTCACTCACACGCCGCAGAAAGTTTGGAGGCCAGGCGAGCAGCGGGATACCGACGGATAGGAAGTGACGGGACTGAGTGAGAGTCAGAAGGAGGTAAGAAAAGAGAGAGAGAGAGAAGACGTGAACATCAACACAAAGCAGAGTGAGAAGCAGCGTGCAATCATCGGACTCTTGACTGTGGTGCGGGAGGGAGCTGAAGTGCGCATGATCTTATCAACAACACCGGAGCGACACACTTTCAATGGAAGGGAACTGGTCCCAGAAGTGAAAGGGAGAGATTGCAGTGAGGACGTGTGTTTGTCGCCTGATTCCTATGAATGTGCCCGTAATTGTGGAAAGTACTGACGCACGGCGGGGGGACCGCACGAAAGAGTGACCCACCAAACTTTGATCATGAGGGAAAAGACTTGACGAGACAACACGGCACAAGAGAAGAACACAGCTGGGATATGAGCGGAGACCTCTGGATTTCGCCTCGATTTTTTGCTCTCTCGGGTACGGTTTTGCGTCTTCGGGGATGTTTGCGAGTTGCATCTCCGCGGCTCCAGGTCGGATACTGACTCGTTTCTGCGCCCTTGTGCTGCTCGTGGCTGTGGGACTCGCTGCGGAGCTGCGGGTCCGAGTCCGGCTCTCTGACGGACTGGTGACCGAGGAGGTTTTGGAGGCGGACAGCGAGAAAGACTCGATATCACTCGAGTTCAAGCAGGGAGATGGGACGCTCATCACTTTTGTGGTGGACTTCAAACGGGTAAGAGGTTGTCCTGCTTACCGCTGAACACGAGGCGGATACTTCCCCCTGGCTCATTTGAATTTTAGGTTATTGAATAACTGCAATTTCCCCTCCAGAATCAGAACTAATTAACAAAGAACTTAATTTCATGCTTCCCATTTTATACCTGCAGACTCATAACACTCCCTCGGTGGTCCTGGAAGTCACTATAGGAAGTCCCCACTTAAAAATAAGAAATTGTGTCTTGTCACTAATCCTTAAAGTCAGTCCAAATCTAACTAAAAGGCACTACTGCTGTGCCCCTCCACCCCCCTTACTTTGGCCTAGGCCGGGGTGTAACAACCCATCCACCCCTACAACCCCCCAAAAATCTGATCAAGGATCTGCACCGTTCACATAATCAGAACCCCCAATTCTCCCCAAATCTGTGTATCCCTTAGGTGTTGAAATCCGCAACAATGGCTTCTTGGTTCAAGCTACTTTGTTAAATTTTAATTCAGGGTCACAGATCTGAATCTTAAACAAAATCATACCTAAAGCCTTTTTTTTTTTAAATAAAGGGGAAAAATCTGAGCAGTTACTGTAGCCCATATTTAAGCTGAAGTATACAGTTTCATTCATCCCTTTCCATCACAGCTGAGTTTCACCGAGGTCAAGACAGCTGCTGCTCCTTAGATGTGACGCCCCCAAGACCCTAATGGCCTTCGAAACCCCTGCAGCTCAAGGGTCCCGTTCAGAGCTGATCATAAGTGGCCATATTTAGCATTTTTCTAAAATATAGACAAACAGCTCAAGTGTCCAACGCCAACCAGTTGTAACATTTTGGAAAGATGACACTGTTTTGCTTTTGTCAATGGCTATCCGGAGACTCGTGAAATTGTCAGTCTTGCAAAATAAAAAACAACTGCTTTGCATAAGAGGGGCGTGTGTGGTGGTGGTGGTGGGGGGGGGGTGCACAGAGCAAAGGCATGTGTCTGTGATGGTTGCTGTCACACAGAAGCTGACAGGCTGGCGAGATGTGAAGGGGGAGATTTACCAGGATTAAGTGGGCATGTCTGACCTTTTTGATCTGCACGTCTGGTTCACTAACCAAAACAGCTAATTTAGAGTTGAAAGAGAAGAGGCCGTCACCCCCCAATCGCTGGTGACACCCACAGAAAGAGACGTACAGTGATCTGAGAGCAGGGAGCCCTTTTCCTGACCGTGCAGGGTTGCTGTATCCCGTCACGCATGCACACACGCCAGCGCACATCACATCTGCACATATGGTTTGGTTTATTTGAACCTCTTAGATCGCTTTACTTTTCCGCTGCCTGATTTATCTGTACAGTTGTAGGTCAGCCTCTTGCTGCTCCCCCCATACCTCTCCCCTCTTTCTGTCTCCCCCCCCCCCCCCCTCGTCTCCTGCCCCCGCCTTGTTTCTTCTGCATGTGGTTTTCATTCAAGTCTTGTGCAGTATCTCCCAAGATTTATGGAAAGTTGGATGAGCTGTCACTTCCAGCTGCCATGAATATATAGTTCAGACGAGCGCCTGTGGGAAGCGGAGTGTTTTAAGAGGGATGTTAAACACTGAGTTCTAATGATGAGACACAAAAAATATGGATGGCTCGATAGATAATGTCACATTTTGAAGAGCAAGTCTCGTTCACTGAGATTTAAAAAAAGAACTGAAATGTAGTCACGGGACAGCAGCCTCATTACTATTTGCTGCTTTGTGAATACGTGGCAAAATGTGATGGTACATGTTATAGCCATTAGACACTGGTGAAGTGGTCTGCTGAATGTGAGAGGGAAGTTTAGTCAACCTTATCCAAGCAATGAATCACAGTGTATGAGCCGTGCAGCGATTTCAGGAAGGTTCTCTGATGGTCTGTAAGCATATGGAAAAGATGAAAAGGTGGTTTTAGCTTGCTCGTGACACCTCTGTGTCATGTTGACTGAATCTCAACATGTGGACACCGCTGTCTGTTCACTTCAAAGCAACAGATTTATGATAGTGCGGTTCGCTTTTTTTATGAAGCACAGGCGTTATGGGGTTGGATGGAGTTGATTATCTGCCACTTATTCTGTAATTGCATTTGAAGGTTACACTCTTTTTTTTTCTTTTTTTTTCAGCGTGCAGTAAAGGAGCTTTTCATTCCTGTCTGGGGTCTCCATGAAGTATTTACAGCTGAATCGACTCTAAATTATGTGAAATTGCAGCAATCTGTCTGCAGCTCAGAAATATCCTGATGAAATGTTTCACGTCGATCTGCAGATTTTTTATTTATTTCCACCCCCCCACTGTGAGACAAATCTCAGCACAGATGTCGCTCTGAATAGAGAAGGTAGCTGCCAATTTGGTATCCTTTCCCCCCCATTAAATTCTGCAATTTATGGTTCAACACAGGCTAGTACCATGAGCTTAACGTAAACCGTTGTCTTAAGGTCAATGCGAGGGAAATGACCCTCATCTTTCAGGGCTTGTTTTGGGTCTTTCCAGATTTGGTGTTTGTGTGTCTTGTCTTTTCTGTCCATCAGTGCAGGAATGTGAATGACTTCACGGGGATCTGGGATGCAGTGGTGCACATCATCATACATCTATAGTTACAGGCACCTTGGCCTGCAACTGTAAAGCCTTTTTATTATCTGGATACGATTTCAGGGTTTTAAATTTCAGGGCCTATTTCGATTTATAGACTTTTTAGGTCTTCTTTTATTCTTAGATGTTTGATTCGATTCCTTCTTGACGCAAACCTCCACGCTTATCAGGGCTTGGGACTCTTATTAGAAGTACACCGTGGGGCGCACTGCAGTTACAATTTAATGTTAGGCGACCAGTAGCAAGTGCATTGCTGTCATTTCCATGATGTCAGATAACTAGGTGTCCTTTGATACATCTAAGGTGTGCTTTAAATAATGTAGCAAGTTTGTCACTCTTAAGTGACTGCATGTGAATGCTTGTAAAGGATTCCTTTGCCCTTTAAGTGCAATGTCAGGTGGCATGTTTAAACCCAACCGCAATCCCTCTTGTTCTCTTAACTATGGGTTTGTTTTTTTTAATGCCTAATCCTAACCAGCAAGAAAAGTCAAAAGTGATTTAAAAGAATCTGAAACAAAATGCAGACAGTCTCCTGTCACCCCTTTAGCCACCTAATATGGTCGTTAAAGCTCAGAGGATCTTTTTTTTTCTTTCTGCACTTTAAAACTAGAACTGCATAGTTTGAGATAGTAGGAATAAACAGCTGATACCATCAGTTAGAAGGAAATTTGAAAGGCTTCCGCTCACGCTAGCGTTTTTACTACTTTGGGTGACAAAGCTTTAGGAGTTTGCTGTTCTCACCAAAACCTCAGTTATTGGAACAATTTTGAAAATAGGGGTGTGGGAGAACAAAGAAACTGCTGATCCAAAAAAATCACCAACTATATTTGAGGTTCAGAGTTTTTCGATGGGGATGATCATCTGCACCTTACACCATCCCGTTAACTGGGTCAGGATCTTGTGAATGATGGCACTGATGAGCACGTCGGTGTCCGTTTTCTTTTTTTTCTCCCTGAACCTTGCAAACTGGATCGGCTTTCACTGCGGAGGCCTGCGTTACCGTCAGCTCAGCTCATTGTGATGGTCTTCAAAGCACAGAGGCTTTATGCACACGCCCAGAAATAAGCTTGCCGTAAGAATGGATTGGAGATTTTTTTTTTCCCACACACCCTCATGTGCTGTGTCAGACACAGAAGGAAAGTTGAGGGTGGGGAGTTAGGTTGGTTAGCTTTTCTGTGTGCCCTCCCATTGGGTTGCAGAGTGTGACCCAGTTAGGCAGGTGCTCATTCAGAGTTCTCTTCGAGCCTTCGTATGCTGTATGTGCCATTAGAATTGTTTAACTGCATTATCTGTCAGACAAACTCTTTTTCTTTTCTTTTTTTTCCTGCGTGGGAGGCCTGATGACAGTCCACTTTGTTCTTTTTCTTGTTAGTGTAAAACGCAGAGGTTTGCCAAGAGTCGCAACTGGCTGTTGTGTTTTTTTTTTTTTCCCCATGTTACAGGTACTTCACATTAGTACAGTACCGTAGCAACCTTTTTTTTTTCTTTACTTTTGGCTGCCACACCTTGCCTCTTACTCAACCTTGAAACACCATCCCTCTTTGTCACTTGTACAAACTTGTAAAGTCCTTTTTATGGGTGAGTGTCACCTGTTCCAGGAAGTGTTGTTGTTGCTTCAGGTACGTTCAGTACGTTATAAGGCACACAGGTTTTCACACTCCAAACGGTGACTGTGAGCAATCTGTGAGTCACAGAAATCCATGTGGCAAATTGTTTACTCAAGGGATGAACTTTGAAGACCTCGCCTCCTACTCTGCTTTCCTTTTGTATGTTTTTTGCGTGGGAAAATGACTCTGTTCAGAGAAGTTACTGCCTAGTTCTGCTTTCTTGTCTTAAATCTTTGAGGTGGCATTCTTGAACGCTTACTTTTCATTTTAGTACATTAAGATCTTGTAAGGTTACTCTGTGCTGGAGGAAGAGTTCAGCTAACTTTGAAGTATTTAAAAATGAACTTTTTGTTTGTTTGTTTACCCATGGCCATAATTTTCCCTGCTTTTTTTTTTTTTCCCTAAAAATCAAAAACAAAACACCAAAACAAGCTTCTTCTGTGGTCTTGTTGTTGCCATTTGGGTCTCCTCATGATCACCCTTTGGCCTCTGGTGGCCCCTTTGCGCCTGTTGGTGTCTTTATCCTTTTCCCCTCCTCCTCTCGCCAGAAGGCCAGATGTTCTCATTTAATACTGCTGATAAAGAGCTTCCCATTTTCACAGTCTCTGCTTCCAGGGAAAGAGACCAGAGCAGAGAGATGACTATCATCTAGCTTTTTAAAAAAAATCTTACTGATCAGGACAGGGACCGCACGGTGCTGTGGTAGCAGCCTTTGACGGACATGAAGACGGCAGTTGTGGCTTGCAGTGTACATAGTTGTAATTTTTGTCTAACTACAGATGGTTTAAGATGAAGAAGATTGGCAATGACACTGACAAAGAATTGAAGCG